GAACTACGAATTTCTAGAACATTCTATCGATAACTTTTTTTGAGGCTTCCTTGCAGTTTTTTCTCGGACATAGGGGTTTTGAGCTTTAAGAGGTTACAGTCCTCTTAAAAATTGCTTTTGGAAGACCAGTCAATCTTTTGGCAGTCGAGATTTGCGATTTTTACCAGTACTATACTTTTGCTGTGGAGATAGTGGTTCAAACCTTTTCCCCGTTTGTAAAGTATTTTTTGAAGTCTAAAGAAATCAATCCATCCGATGTTGGACCAGCTAGTCTTTTGGTTTGGTTCTGAATATCGGAATTTTTTTGTTCCCAATAAATTGAAATTGTAGCATTGGGCCCAATACTTACGCCACGCACTTCATTTGCTAAGAGTCGCAGAAGCATTTGAACTTTATTTTATGTCTTGTTTTGTCTAACGTCAAATTTCCCTTTGCGCGAGCTTGTGGAAGCCAGGTAATCTGTTGCCGTCATGCTGTGATTAAAGCCTTAATCTGGAGCTTCCACTCCACTTTGTTAAACTTTTTTCGTCCTTGACACTCCAGAACGTTGACTAAAGACAACTCGAACCTGAACGGATTCAGTGTAATCAAAGGAACAAAAGAAAATAGACGTTTGGATACATGTTTTGTAATCGTCAGCTCTCTCTCTCTCTCTCTCTCTGAAAAGTTGCTTGATAGTGTTCTAGAAAAATCTAAATTCTAAATGTGTGGCTAGATTAACACAATAATGCAATGTCAATAATTGGGCGCAATCCTCTAATGTTCCACCAAGTGTCGTCAAACTCAGTTTATTTTCATTTCTTTTCAATTAAAATTGTAACGATACATTCTATTTGTTCATCAAGTGGCACTCTCTCACAAATGAAAGCGTACAGTGATTCTGTAGTCCATTTTTACGCTATCCAGATTGGGCCAGTAGCTGTTTGCTCTTATGTTTGCTCTTTGCTTTGGATGAGTCATCGCTCAAATCACCGCACACCTACACTTGTCTCCCGCAAGAGCGTTCCATCGTGCCCGACTACAGCTCCCACGAACACCCTAGCCTATGACAACCTAAGCATCTAGCCTTACTTCTCATATTATAGTGTGTACATGTAGAGCTGGAGTAGTACCACTCTTACAGAATATCTTTACTAGGTCTGGTACTAACGTTTTCCTCGAACTCCTTGAACCACCTCATGCACCATCTGAGGTGAGCCTCGTAGCTGGCTAGACACCATTTGCTCAAAATTTCTTTACCAAGGCTTGGAGCCTACGATTAGGCTGCTTCTATGCAGGAAGCAAGTGGTGATCAGGACTTGTTTTGCAGCGGATGTCAAGTTGTTATTCGGAGGGAGACTTTCTGTGCTCACCATGCAGCAACATTATCATGCTGCTCGGTGAACACGGACCTACCTCCGGCTGCCCGGTTAAAAAGGGTGATTCAAGGAAGGTGAGGGGGTGGCGACCATAGACAACGCCTACTGACCACGACCGTGAAGGGAAGGGTAAACCACGCAATGCACAGCTCTTAACATCACGTCCGGTGATATCCGAGTGGCAGATGGACTGAGACCATGAGGCTCCAGCGGACATCGTGACATCCACGACAACACTGCTAAACCCAGCCTCTCCACTCTTATTCCTTTATTTTCTTACTCTACCCTCCACTACTATGTATGCTTAGAATTCCTTTTAGTGGCGTTAGCTTCATTCCTTGACAGATGTTTAGTGCGTCATTACTATCTCAATAAAAGTGAATTGGGCTGATTTCATTTCCATTTTCCAATTCAGATTGATCGTCTGATTGCTGATTATACGGTTCGTAACCAGTACAAGTGCGCCCATGTATTTTTCACGGAGGCTTGTACCGACACGCTGTTCTCCGAATTGTCTCGCAGTGCTGCCGCTCGCTATATCAAAACTTTGAAGGAAATTAACATTGCTTTCACTCCATACGAAAGCCAGGCAAGTTTGTAGTCTTCTCACTATTGTATTCTCTATTTTATGACCACTTATTTTAGGTGTACACGTTGGACTCACCTGACACATATTTTCTGTATTACAATGCTCAGAAGCAGGGAGGGCTAACATCCAATCTAGAACGTATTGCTGAACAACTTGCGACAGTCTGTGCCACACTGGGAGAATATCCCTCTCTACGGTTAGTTCATTCTGTCTTGAAGGCACCATATTGTGCTACAAAAGGTTTTTCAAGGTATCGAGCTGATTTCGAGAGAAATATGGAGCTTGGTCATCTGGTTGAACAAAAATTAGATGCCTACAAAGCTGATGATCCCACAATGGGAGAAGGAGCTGACAAGGCTCGTAGTCAGCTGATTATCATAGGTGCGCTTATCACACTTCCCGTTATGGTGCAACACTTGAGTTATGTTTTTTTTGTGCGGATCGCGGTTTCGATGCAGTTACTCCTCTTCTTCATGAATTGACTCTGCAAGCAATATGCTACGATTTGCTCGGGATTGAGAATGATGTCTATCGCTAAACAGATGCGGAAACGATAAGATTGAAAAAGGTGTCTTAAGGGTTCCCTGTTCTATTGCAAGTTTCAAGTTCAAATTGTGTTCAGTTTTACTGCGAGTAAATTAAAAGTAATCTTCAGGTTCTTCTGGATGAAAACGACGATCTCTGGGTCGACACTCGTCACAAGCACATTGCCGTAGTTTCTCAAGAGGTAGCTTCAGTTTGTTTACTGGAGCGATGCAAGTAGTATCACTGCTTTTATTTCTGTTGACATCATGCTGATTTTATAAAACCAGATTAGTCCCCCGTCAACCGCCGGGACCTTCCTTTCCTGCGCAAGCTTTCTATCCTCCGCTATGGTCCCTTCCTCCTGTGACACCAACACCTCCTGGAAGTGACGCGTATGCAACACAATGGTGTTTCATACAGTAGAAGGGACACAATCATGATATGACGGTAGATTTTTCGCTTCCCTTCCTCATCCTCCCTTCCTCTCTCCACTGCCCTCCAGCTGCCACTGCAGCACCATGTGGAATGAACGGAAGTGTGCTAAGCAGGTGTTTATATAGCCCTAAGAGTGTTATCACAACTATCCTGCTACAAAACATTGATATCTCAAATCCTGTAAGCTACCCGATTTGTTAGCGGTTTGTTTATCCCATGAGCTTCCTTCTCACTCACTTCATTTTGCGGACGGACACACATACATACATACACACACACGCACACACACACACACACACACATACAGATACACAAACCGACACACAAAGTTAGCGCTTTATATAATAGAAGGATAAGTATAAAAAGGGCGAAGAAGTCAGGCGATTCCAAGGCAGGCTTTAAAGCAGACGCGAAGTCTATAAAAGACTTGTCAATGATGATTAAGAAGATGCCACAACATCAAAAAGAATTAAATAAATTCAGGTAAAGTTTTCCCATCTTCGATATTTCTCTGACTTCAACTTTTGGATCAGTCGTTTGCTTTTTTAGCACCCACTTTCATTTGGCTGAAGAATGTATGCGTCAGTATCAAAGCGGAGTCGATAAATTATGCAAAGTGGAGCAGGTAGGGTAGCAGTTCAACTGATTAGGCAATAGGATATGTGAATGTGTTTGGTCAAGGATCTCGCTACACAAATCGACGCTGAAGGGGAACGAGTGAAGGATCCGATGAAGCTGATGGTGCCGCTATTGATCGATCCAGTCGTGAAAACCGAGGATAGACTGAGGCTCATTCTCCTTTACATTCTCAGTAAAAATGGTGCGTTAACTGTGATAAGCTGTTTTTGCCAGAAGGAACTGTCAAGATATTTGAATCTATTTCCAGGAATTACTGATGAGAACCTGAACAAGCTTCTTCAACATGCTAATATAGCTATGGCTGAAAAAGAGACTATAACGAATGCGGCATTCCTAGGATTGAATATCACAACTGATGTATGTTAATTTCTTACGTTTTGAAGATGATGGCAACGCAATTCTTGGGTTTTAGCAAGGAAGGAAGAAGGTGTGGACACCGGTGCGAAAAGAACGCCCCAATGAACAAGTGTACCAATCATCGCGTTGGGTGCCAGCATTGAAAGATATAATGGAGGACGCGATTGACGATAAACTTGACACCAAGCACTTCCCATTCCTCGCCGGTCGTCAGACTAACCAGCCATTCAGGTATGCTCAGGGTGTGAGTCAGAACATGACATTTGCGGTAACGATGCGATAATGGTGTTGCATTTTCATGACCTGATCCTTACCCATGTTTATTGCTCTTTTGCTAGCGGCAATTGATACATTATGAGGCAGTTCCTTTATCGATAAGAACAGGTGGCCTTTATAGGATTCTTAGTGACGCTCAATGTTTTTAGAGCTCCAACTTCTGCACGTTATGGACAATGGCACAAGGAACGGGGCCAGCAAGCCCAGTACCGCAGTGGTCCACGCTTGATTGTATTTGTTATTGGTGGACTAACTTATTCTGAGATGCGCGCAGCTTATGAAGTAACTCAAGCAAAGAAACCGTGGGAAGTCATCATAGGTTCGTTTGAGCATAATTACCTTTACAGGGCCACGTGCATGTCCACTACAGACTTCACAGCACAAGTGACGATGGCCTTCTTAAAATGTGATAGCTTTCTGTCAGCAGATTGATTAGCCAGTGCAGTCGTATCCTTTCAGTTGCCAGTATTTGCAACTATTATTTATCAACCATCTGTCACTTTAAAACACCTATTATGAGATTTATTTGGAGGCCGTCATCATTTGTAGTAGGAGTGTGTAGTGCAGACTTTCTCCGGGTACAAAGGGCACAGTTGTCCTTGCCAATCTACGACAGTTTTTGCAGGCTCCGACCAGATCATCACTCCAGAGAAGTTTTTGACCAATCTTCGCGACTTGAACAAACCCAGAGAGCAATGACGCTTAGCAGGACACAGGGTCGAAATGGTTGTGGATGAATTAACGCCTACCACATTAGGTGGTGTGATAAAAATTTAGTCTTATCACCATAGTATTTTGATTAAACTCAGCTAATCAAACTAACGGCTCTGTAGTCCTACGAATATTCCCTTAATTGTCACGTTTCCATTAATTCCAAATTGTATGTTGTGATGTAAACAATATTTATGTCTTAGCGTGCCAGCGTAGTCATTTGTCACCCTTCATATGTAAACATTCCGGTCTTGTTGACCATGCTTGATGCTATTTATTTGTTGTGTGCAAGTCATGTATAAATCCTCGGTGTTCTAAATGTGCATGTTGTGATTAGCCCTTTTCTTCCACTAAAAACTGCTTCTTTCGCAAATGTGTTGTCTGTGCTGTTTCTGTGTCGCTGAGTTGATGCCATAGTGCATAGCTCTGTGATCAAGTAAAGTCGATTTAACGCATAACCAGTTTCCTGACAAATACACCAAAATGGACTCTGTTCTATAGGATTTTGATGCGGTTTCCATGCGTAGTGAATGTAGCACGTCCTTAAAGTGTGGTGAGTGAAATGGAGGCGTTTCACGGCTGCGTTTGGCAAAAAAGTTTATTTGCAAAACAGAAGTTCCGTGCCAAACTACGCGATCAACAAGGCGGTTATTGCGCTTGGAATAGAGGCGAAAACGAGAAGTGATCCAACATTAAAGACAAAACAAAAGAAATCAACGAAGTACGTGGATGGTAGTGTGCCCCTGCCCTTACTGGATGAGATGCCTTCGGGTCTCATCCAGTAAGGGGGGGGGGCATGTGGTGTGACAGTTCTTGCCGGCTACAGAAATTCCAATTTTTGCAAGGGGAGGGAATCCCCGGGGTGCGTGAACCATTTCGCTTAAACTTTTACACCCACCCCGGAGCTTCCCTCCCCTGAAAAAAAGTGGATTACTTCATGCAATATGAACTGTCGCACCACATGCCCCCCCCTTACTGGATGAGACCCTGTCCGTGAGCAGACTGCGCTGAAGACCGACAAGACAGCTCTTACGGAGAACAGAGAGAGGGCGAGAGAGCAGATCGGGCGAGAGGATGCAGACATCCCGCGCGTTGGGGCATAGTATAACCGCAAATATTGGGTTGATCCATAATTCCTGGCCGAATTTTTTCAGAATCAATTTTCTTCATGTCAAATTAGTGTCATTACGAAATAAGTTAGTATGTTGAAGGAAGCATCAGTACCTTACCCTAGGGTGTTCCAGAAGGTCAAAGGGCAGTGGAATAAGTAAGCAGGG